AGTAGAACAAAAGTCTGTAAGATTTAGGATTTATTCTGTGTTGTTCCGTACTCAGCACAATATACAGCCCATAGTAGAAGCTTAATAAATGATTGGTGAACTGACGCTAAACTTTGAGTCAGGAAAGCTGGGTTCCAGTCCCAGGTTCAGTAACTATATGACCCTTTGGCCAGTTAATAACCTTTTTGTGCCTGTGTTTCTTCATCTTTAAAATGAAGCTAGTAACACTTGTCTACTTTTCCTGACTGCCTCACAAGACAGTGGTAAGGTGACAAACAGGAGAGCATTTTGGATAGTAGACAACAAAAGGCAATATAAATTTTATGTATTACAGTTTGAGTTACTGGTATCTTCTGGAAGATATGACAACAGCAGTGTTGACAAACCTTCCTCCCTTCCTTCTTTGTAGCCACTGACCCAATTCTTTGGTGCATGGCACTTTGTTTCTGAAGCAAGATTCCTTCCCTTTTGCCCACTCTGGTTCCACGGCTTTCTAGCTGGGTGGTCTAGGATCTCAAAAAGGAAAAGCAGCAGGCACCCACCTACGGCAAAGATGGCAGCCTGTGCAAAGTCAGCAGACACATCGGTGCAGTACCCTCGGAGCTCCTCGAGCACTTGCTGCACGTTCTCATCGTTCACCAGCTCACACAGCACCTCCACCTTCTGCAGCTTGATGTAGTGGGGCTCTGAGTAGGAGCAAAAAAACTTCTTGTAGTGGCTGCTAAAGTGGCCTGGCAAACTATGCAGGATCTGGCGCACGTGACAGAGGGCAGTGAAACAGAGCTCGCGGCTCTCTGAAGAACAGGCGGCCAGCAGAGGGCCCTTGACTCGCACCAGCACGTCAGTTTGTACGTGGGGAAATTTGGGGGCCAAGATCAGAAAGAGTTTGGTGGCTCCCATCACCACACCAGGGCTGCTGCTCTTGAGAAAGCCGTCCAACAGGTTGAGGATATCAAACAGCTCCTCCTCACTGCGGGGTTGGTAGCGTAGCAGAAAGGTCAATACTTCGGCCTGGCCCCACTGGTCCAGTGTTGACATTCTATCCCCCAAAAAGAAAAAAGTGCTCTTTTAGCAACAAAATTAGGACCATCCCCATGCTACTGCCAGTCATCTGTTCTTCATAACAAGGGGAGAATTCTTGAAAACAGGCTGTGCCCTAATCGAATTATTCTTTGTACATACTATTTAAAGCTCACACAAAGTAGACTATTAATTCCAAGATGAGTTTACAGTACAAATGCACACTCATCTAAGGCCAAAGACGTGATCACTATACCAGACTCTCTACATTGTAAGGGCAGTAAATGGCTTAGTTTAAGGGACATATTGACTGTAGATGAGAACAGAACCTATCCCCACAGGAGGTTGCCTCCATTTCTCTATTTCACCAAAAAAACCTAAGGCAAATAAAAGAAATTCTCTCAATGAAATTTGAGAAAGTTAGTAGTTATGGTTAACTTTCTCTACTACTCTACATTAGTTGTTTAAGACCTCTCCTTAAGTCAACACATCGACAAGATCCCACTAGGATGAAGATCTCATCATAACAAAAAGAGCACCCAGGTAGGCATCCCAACCGATTTAAGAGATGGTGAGCGATGGGCTTATTGATGACAACGCCGCCTTCCTGTTTCAGAATTTCCTCTAGAGACCTCAGGCAGTTTACCACCACGATTGGGTCCTGGTCACGCAGCAAACTGTATAATTCATTTACCAGGGCACCATCTAGAAAAGAGAACAAAGACCTCAGATAGAGAAGAAAAGCTTCTGAGTCACAGGGAGAGAGCCAGAGTACCAGCTCCAAGCAGATAAAGCTGAAGTTCTCTGCTACAGAATCACAAAGGCCTATAACAAAGTCAAGGCCTCTTCTAAGCAGCTAAGGCAAAGGATCTCACCTGAGCCCCAAAGAAAGGACTTCTCTAATCTCAGGAAATACCAAGCCCTGCAACCTACTCAAAGAGGCATGCACAGAAATAAGGCCACACTATTATTTTCTACCAAAGCTATGTAATATTTTACAAAGTCATGTATATAATGCAATCACAAATAAAGATTGATCAGGATGGATCACACTGAAACTTACCCACTTCAGATTCTCCATGAAGATTATGTATCTTGGCGCAACCAAGGACTGCCACCCTCCTGACATATGAAGCCTTATCCCGCAGACCATTGAGAACAGGCTGTTGGATATATTCCTGCACACCCGGCATCCTAAGCAACACATCCTGGAATCAGCCAGATTCTGAAATACTAGTTTTGACACAATTCAGCCCCTGTGCACTTAACAGAGGGTTCAGAAAATTTTTGAATGTGCATCAGATCATAAAAATTGGAGAACACTGCAGTCAAACTTAAAAAGCCATATTTGTCTTTTCATTTGGAAATGTCTTGCAGAGGCAGCAAGAAAAAACATACATAATTGTTTACAAATCTTTAACTGAAACCGAAAACTATTTCACCTGGAGTGAGAATGGAAAACTCCGTTTAATGAAACCATATAGTTTTTTAAGCCAAAGCAATGGCTGAAAACTTGGGTTCAGGTTTCAACAGTGTTTTCCCCAGTATGAAGGAGCTCAACTAAATTGTCATCACTGAAAACCTGCCCCATGACCTCCTGAATTCATCAGCCACTGAGAAACAGGCAGGAAAAGGGTGCTCACCTGAGGCTACACATACTCCGTAGTGCCAGTCCTCGCACCATTGGATTGGGGTCCGAACAGTCTTTGCACAGTGTATTGATGGCCAGGAGAGCCAGATCTGGTTTCAGGGGGGCATAGGTGCACATGTACAGATAAACCAACTTCTTTTGAACAATATCCACAGTGGCACTGGCCTTCACCATTTCCATGAAAACAGCAGACATGTCCAAGCCCTGAGTCATATGCCTGAAACCAACACACAGAGCAGGAGAAAGTAAAATACATCATTCCCAAGCTACAGTGGAGAGTGTTTTATTTTATCCATGTCCTGGTTATCCAACTCAATTGTGATCTCTGAGAGGGAAGCAACCAAGTCTACCTTGTCTATTATGTCACACAAAACTTCACACCAGGGGCCTGCAGTACACGTTCTTTTATTTACTCAACAAACATTTATGAATTTCTAGTACATTTCAGTGAAATTCAGCTTTTACACTCCAGGGGTACACTCTGGGGACAGAATCTTAAAGAAGGCATGGCCTCAGATCTCTAGGAACTCAATATCTACTAAGGAGCCAGACAAGAGCACCACTAATTACAGTACACTAGATAAGTATTATGACAGAAGTAACAGGCAAAGGGCAGTGAGGACCCAGAGGTCTACTGCCAGGAAGTCATAAAATGTTTCCACAGAGGAAGTAATACCTTAGCTGAATGAGCAGGAGCTCAACAAGCAGGTGTGATAAATAGGTAATGCTACATGCTGTGAGGCACACAGACATGAGCAAGAACGGTACATTCTTTTAGAGAGTCTGCAGGTTGCTGAGTTAGCCCAGGGTTCCTTGGGTGCTAAGAAAAGTTTGGACTTTATTCTGTAGATCACTGTTCCTCAAACTATGGCCTCCTACAGGAATCAGATGGGATGTAGTTTAAAATGCAGATTCCTGGGTTCTAGCCCACCCTACTGAAATCAGAATTACTGGATTGGATGAAAAATTTACATTTTTATAAAAGGTACCCCAAGAGATTTTTGTGCACACTGAAGCTTGTGATCCACAGCTTGTAGGCCAGACTTGTATGTTCAGATTCATGTGCTGGAAAAATCATTCTGACTGAAATGAGGGGGCAAAGTGACCTACTAGTACGCTACTGCAATTGCTTTGGTAAGAAGCCAGAACTGCAGCAGTGACAAAAAAGGGTGGGAGGATGGATATTTAGAACCATAAAACCATACCATCTCTGACTTGAGAAGCGAAGATCAGGTGTCATCAAGATTGACTCCCACGCTTGGTCAGCTAGGTGGTGACATTCATCAACACAAACACAAGTGGAAGAGCAGGTTTGGGGAGGGGCAGGATGTAGGTGCTATTTTGCATGTCTCTGGAGAAACATCCAGGTGGAAATGAAAAGCAGGTAGTAGGATATGCGGGGCTGAAGATAAAGGAGGTCTGTACTGGATAGATTTATTATGGGTCTGTTAAGTGAAACATGGATGAAACCACCCAGCTGAATAAACGAAGTAAAAAATAAGTCTCACAAGGGAGGCTGAGACGGCACTCCAGAGGAGCAGGAAGACCAAATGATAGCACTGGCATGCGTGAAAAGTTCGTTTTCATACATGAGGTTGGACAGCCCTGGTGGGGACTGCAGTGGGTGAGTTAGGGTATTGGGTGATACCTAATCACTCGCTGGATGACATTCCGGTAGCGCAGCCTATCAGCCTGAATGTGGGGGTTACACAGAGCCTTCTTCAGCTCCTTGACCACGTCCTCAGAGCCGAGGTACGGCATCTTCTCGAACAGTCCCGGGGCAATCCCACAGCCCCCTAGGTAACTCGTAGGCTCCTTCCAGCCCCGATGTGGGAACCTGGGTAAAGGAAATGTCTGTCAGGCAAGAGGCTAAAGGCGTGATCTCGCCCCAGCCTTGGCTTCCCCAGGGCTTGGCACGCTCAAACTTCGGCTCTCTCCGCTCCCCGGTGAGCCCCACCCTAAGCCCTTCGGTTCCTTCCGGGACCTGCCGGCCGGTTCGCTCCACCCATAGGTCTCTCCCACTACCTTTAGGGCCCTCCGCTCAATTTCCAGCCCGGCAGCCGATGGTCCGTAGACCCCTCCCTCGCAGTTCCAGCCTTCGGGGCGCCTCCATGCGGTGGCCGTCACGGGTAGGCCCAAGGATGCTTTCTGCGGAAGTCCTGCCTCCTCGAGAGAGACCACGCAGAGCAGCTGCCACTCACCCTCTCCCAGCGAGCGCCGAGCTGAGCCTGGGCCCCGACCTTAGGGTGCCCTTCCCCCAACCTCTCACCTCCGGGCGCAGCCTCCAGCTCCCTCTAGTGGAGCTGCAGCGGACAATCGGAAATCGGCTACTTCTGCCTGTCTCGGGCCGGCAGCGCGCGCTTTGAGTGGAGGGCCCGGGCTCCCGCGCGGTTAAGAATGGCGCTCCGCTGAGCGACTTCCGCGATGTGCGATTCCACCCCCGGACTCCACCAAGCACGGTCGCTTCTTTTTTCTGCACATTCTAGTTACTTATTTCTCTCCTGGGCTGGCTTTCCCTCAGTTTTTCTGGCTCTGTTCTTGCCCCAGCGTGACTTTTTTCAGGGCTGTTGTAGGAGGCTCGCGCGGGAGCTCTATTCCTATGAAGACCCCACTGCTGATTACAGCCCCGCCACCATGAACGGAGTCCAGATCCCCCATACGCCCATCGCTGTGGACTTTTGGAGCCTGCGCCGGGCTGCTTCTGCACGGCTTTTCTTTCTGTCCCACATGCACTCGGACCACACCGTGGGGCTGTCTAGCACCTGGGCCCGGCCCCTCTACTGCTCCCCAATCACTGCTTTCCTCCTGCATCGTCGCCTACAGGTATGGGGGGTTGGAGTCGGCTTCTGAGCGAGCTCTGGTCTAGGCATCAGGGTGGGAATTCCGACCTTCACTGTCTTGGAGTCAATGGACCGGGAGGACTGATTGTTACAAATGCGGGAGTTTGAACCCAGAATTGCATCTTTAGCCCAGAATAGGAGTGTGGCTAATAAACTGGCGGACTGGAATGTTACAGCTGTAAGTTGGGGAGATCTAGTCCAACCAAGGAAACTTAAAGAGTTTTCACAAGCGAGGCCATTGTTTCCCCGTCTTGCTTCATCACAAGAATTCCGGTAATGTGTTGGGTAGATATACAAATTCCTCGGCGCTTCCTCTCTCTCCACTTCCGATTCAGTAGATAATAGCTGGTGCGGGTCCTGGAAATATTGTTGGAATTTTTTTAACAGATGCCCCAAGGTATTATAAGGAAATTTTGAGAATTTCTGACTAGATGGTCAGTTTTCCCTGATTCCGGAAAGGGATAATTTCTGGGCCAGGGAGATATCAGGGAGGGGAATCTGTGTTCACTGGAATGACCAATTATTTTTCTCAGGTATCTAAGCAGTGGATCCGAGCCCTGGAGGTTGGTGAGAGCCATGTCCTGCCTCTAGATGAAATTGGCCGAGAGACCGTGACCGTAACCCTGATGGATGCCAATCACTGCCCTGGCTCTGTCATGTTTCTCTTCGAAGGATACTTTGGAACCATCCTCTACACAGGTGGGCCTCCGAAGGGGTCCTTCCTATCTGCTCCACTTAGACACTACTTTTCTTGAGCAGCCTTAACTCATAATAGATGTCTGGAGGCCTCCTAGTTTCATCCCATGCAAGCATAGTGGTCCTTTCTTAACTGAATTCCCACTCTTTAAGGGTCCAAACCTTGTAATAAGTAATGAAAGAACAAGAGCAAGGTGGAGCTATTTGCACAAGGAAGCTGTACTCTACGTATTAATTCAGTGCCAGGCTCCAAGATAGCTTTCACAGGCCAGTAAGCAAATGCCCATGTGTCGGAGAGCCTTGTGTTTTACACTTTTGTCTCTGATCCTCCGCCCCCCGTGTATTCTTTCAGGTGATTTTCGATTTACACCGTCCATGCTAAAGGAGCCAGCCCTGAGGGTGGGGAAACAGATCCATACCTTATACCTAGACAACACCAATTGCAACCCAGCTCTGGTTCTTCCTTCCCAAGAAGAAGCTGCCCGCCAGATTGTCGAGCTTATTCGAAAGCACCCAGAACATAATGTAAAGATTGGTGAGTAGTTTCCTTTCGTTTTCCTTTTCACCCACAGCTAGTGCATCTAGATTGAGGGAGAAGGGGTCCTCACATCTTTGAAGGCTTTGTGCAGATCTCCCCTTCTTCATAAAACCTCCCCTGACCATCTTATTTAAAGTTGCCATCTGTCCACCATCCCTACTCCCACAGTCCCTACTTCTGATCCCCTATAGCAGATCAATTTTTTCATAGCACTCGTCACCTTCCAACATATTCTGTGTTTTAATATGCTATTGCTTATTGTTTATTGTCTATCCCCTGGTTCCCCTGGCATGCACACACCCCAACATAAACTCCTTGAGGGTATGGATGGAGGTGGGAAGAAGCCTTGTGTTTGTGGAAGAGAAACAGCAGCTAGTGTGACAGGCGCACAGTGGGTGAGGAGGCTGGAAAGGCAGGAGGGGCTGAAGTGCTTGTAAGACTTTTTGAACTTGACCCTAAATGCAACCATTGCTCTTAGTACAAAGAGCTTTAAGTAAGAGAGGGACAATATTGCACTCATCACCGTACAGTGGATTCCATAATTTGTGTATTTAGGTTTTTTTTTTTTAAAATCTGTGTTCTTTTTTTTATAAGATTTTTATTGGGGAATTGAGGGAAGGAGAACAGACAAGTTGCTGTCCTTTTGTTCTCCAGTTGTGGAGGACGCCACTTCACTGGCCCAAGTTGGCACCATCACCGCGCTCTTCCCGGGCGAGGCAGACCGGCCACCGGCCGCCCATGCTGGCTACTGGCCACACACAGTAGCCCATGGCAACCCACCTGCCATTGCCAGCGACTCACCGCAGCCCAGCTCCAGGGTGAGCTGTTGTTCAGCATCTCAGCTGTCGAGGGCACTGTCACTGGCCCTCACATGGGATCCGAACCCGGGCCCTCCGGCGTCCCAAGCCAGCTCCTAACCAATGTGCCACTCGGCCGGCCCTGTATTTAGTTTTTATTATCTGTCTCCCCTGCTAGACTGTAAGTTCCACCATGGCAGGGCTCTTTGTTTTACTAATGGATATATCCCAAATGTCTAGATTAATGGCTGATGAGGCATTCCATAAATATTTGTTATGAGTGAATGGAATTTATCAGTATGTAGATATTCAAGTGAATGTTGTGCTTAAAGCTAGATACATTGAAAAACCAACCGTATGCTTGTTCTGGTAATTCCACAATAGTACAAGACGTTTTGTGGACTCTTCTTTTGGAATTGCCTTTGAAGATAGTTTATGAAAATCAATTTTTTAAAAATGTAATAGATCAGTTCTAAATTTTTTGATTGTTTCCAAAATTATAATAAATCCAAAAATGAAAAAGATTTGCCGCCATGATGAATATTTTAAAAGGATCTGCCCCAACTCTGGAAGGAGTTTCAAAATAGAGTTAAACAACGTCATTGGAAAAAAAAACTGTACACCTTCCAGAATGGCTACCAGATTGACTGAGAACTATCCCTTCCTTTCAGGACTGTTTGACTTCTCATGAAGAATTCCCAATGCTAACTATTAGAGTTTTCAATGTAGAATTTTCCCAGAGAAGCGCAGCTGAGTAGGAGGATAATGTAGTGGGGCTTGACTAATTTTGCAAATATATAATAAGCCCCTACTATACGCCAAGTATTCCGACAGACAATGGGAATGGAAAGATGAATAAAATATGAGGGCTTACGGTCTAGTAGTAAAGGACCTAGAAGAGGTTTTAAAAAAGGTGGGGGGCCAGCCAAGTGGGTCACTGGCCCATGTGGGAATCGAACCAGTGGCCTTGTTGCTCAGAGCTCGTGCTCTTAAGCCAACTCGTAACGAACTCAGCCATTTGGCCTGCCCTGGCATTTCTTACCAGTTCTTTCTTTATACTTTAGTAACACCACACTGGCCCCTCTTAAAATGTTCTCTACCATCCCCTTCCCTTGCCAGGTTAACTTGGACCCATCTTTTAAGACTTAGCTCAGTTGTCATTTTCAGGAAACTTGCCTTGACTCTGTCAATGGGTAGATGCGTTCCTGTGCCCCCATAATACTGTGTGAATGTCTCTAATTAACACTGCCCTTAACCACGTGATTTCTGGATTCCCATGTAGGTTATACTCCTTGAGGACTGAGACTTTTTGTTTTCACAGCGCTTAACACTTGGTAGATTCTTTCCTTTGTTGAACTACATGAATGAGTGGATTCTCTGTTAACCTCCTGCTACCCCATGCTCCATATATTATAGCTCAGCTCAGATGCCATCCCCTCCCTGATGTACTGATTGCCCCATTAATGTTGTGTATTTTTGTTAACTATTTGGTTGATGTATTAGGATTTCCTGATAGCTTCATTCTCTTCCTTTTCTTCCTTTCCCCAACCCCTTTAACATTCTTCAGGACTCTATAGCCTGGGAAAAGAGTCCCTATTGGAGCAGCTGGCCCTGGAGTTTCAGACATGGGTGGTCCTGAGTCCTCGGCGCCTGGAGCTGGTGCAGCTGTTGGGCCTGGCAGATGTGTTCACCGTGGAGGAGACGGCGGGCCGCATCCAGGCTGTGGACCACCTGGAGATCTGTCGTTCTGCCATGCTGCGTTGGAACCAGACCCACCCTACCATTGCTGTCCTTCCCACAAGCCGGAAAATCCACAGCTCCCACCCCGATATCCATGTTATCCCTTACTCTGACCATTCCTCCTACTCCGAGCTTCGTGCCTTTGTCGCAGCCCTGAAGCCTTGCCAGGTGGTGCCGATTGTCAGTCGGCAGCCCTATCGGGACTACTTTCAGGACAGCCTGAGCCCCAAGCTTTCTGTGCCCCTGGTGCCAGACTCTGTACAGCAATACATGAGTTCCTCCTCCAGAAAACCAAGCATTCTCTGTCTGTTGTTAGAAAGGAAGCTAAAGAAGCCAAGAACCCAGGGTGTCGTGTTTGAATCGCTTGAGGAAGATGCTGATCAATCTCAAGCTGTCAGTGACTCAATGAGGGCTGAAAACGAGAACCTTTCTGGGAACCTTGAGAAGCAGCCCTCCCACCATCCTTTGCGGATCAAGAAGCAGTTGTTCCTAGACGTCTGCAGAAAAGAATGGGATGGGGCAGTCCCTTTCCCTGAGTCCCAGAAGATACTGACTGCCCCCTTGGGCTTTTCAGTGCACTTAAGATCCACAGATGAGGAATTTCTCTCTCCGGACAGCAGGGAGGAAACTGGTGTAGGGCCCCACTTGGTCCCCAGGGGAGACAATGATGGCTCAGCAGCCTCAGGGAACCAGCGGGTCTGGAGAGGCCAGGATTCGCCCCGGTCTCAGAGCAGCGAGGCAGTCCCTCTTTTGGCTCCTGAGTTCGGGGGCCCAGCACTAAAATACCTCCTGACTCCAGTGAACTTTTTCCAGGCAGCCTTCTCTTCCAGGGGCTTTGACCAGCAAGTGGAAAAATACCATAAATCCTTGCCGACTCCAGACAGGAGACTACAACCTCATTGGATCCAACACTGCAGCTTAGAAGATAGTGGCTGAAGGCTGGTAGGGAAAGTTTGTTTGGGGCCTTAGTTTTTCTATCTTCACAGGATCCTATGGGCTCACCATGGAGCAACACTTCTCAAAGTGTGTTCCTTGCACAACTGATGCCTATGGAATCCTCAGTTTATACTTGACCGTGTTTAAGAAACACTTTTCATTATAACCCCTTCACAGTATGGGCACATTTAAGGTTCTAAGAAGGCCTGCACGTAACGTAATCTGTTTACATTTGTTTAACACAGCATTTCTCCAACTTTTTTTTGAACACGCATTCCTCTTATGTGGCTGCAGAAAGATATAAAGTCTGAATCAAAAAGGCCCAGGATATTCCCATTGTGATTTTGTGTCATGTGCCATTCTCCATGCCCCCCTCTCCCTTTTCCTTAGATAAAAGCCCCCAGGTAGTTCTGGTTTTTCAGTTAGGAACTCTGGTGCTGGAGGATCAAGTGGTGATCCAGGCAGCACGTTCCAATCCTGGATGTCACTGACTTGCCATGACCCCATCTAAGTGACTTCCTGTCTCTGCCTCTGGGAGAGAACAGGAAACGATGAAGAGCCTTGGAACAGTGGAGAAAAATTCTACCTCTGCCTCCATGAGGGTTTGCAGTTAGTGTCACTGGGGACCAACTTGGAACAGAGCCAGCTGGGGGATTGGGCACCCCTCCCCAAGGCAGTGCCTGGAACCAGGCTCAGGGGTAGGACGGGCCTCCCAGCCATCTGAAGGCCCTGACTTTGACCGAAATCAAGTTACAAAAGATCAAATGTGCTGCCAGATATTCCTGATTGTTCACATAGCTGGGATATTTGCTGCCGCCCCCCCCCCCCCCCCCCCGCCCTTGGGTTGAATAGGGAGCCAGAGCACACAGCCTGTTTGTTTTAGTATCCAGGGCAGAGACCAAGGAGCCAGCTGGTTGAAGGGGCGGGGGCATGCAGCTCTGCCCTGTCCTGCTCAGCCTGACCAAGTGCCAAACCAGTAAGCAGGACAGCAGAGCCCACAGGCACGTGGGGCTGGGCACAGGGATAAAAACTGCTTCAGCATGGGGCCCCGAGGCTTCGTAAGGAAGAAGCCTCTGTGTCTTGTCCAGGAAAAACAGTTTTCTGCTTTTGGAGGAAGATATGAAGAGTTTAGAAAGCAAAATAAGGCCTTCCTCTTGGGCAAGCTGTACACAGCTGTGTTTTGTCAATGACCTTCACTGTAAGCCTCCCATGGGCCCATGAGGAGCCACAGCAGGTGAGGCATGTGGGGCAGCAGGAAACCTGGGCTTCCATCCAGGGCGCCCTGAGCCAGTAGAGACACCACACAGCAGAGCCTCTGTTCCTCATCTGTAAACCAACTGAGATACGTACCTCTCCCACTGGCCATGGAGGTTAGATAATTGGGAGAGCTCCTAGCTCTGCCTACCACAGGATGGGTGTTTCCAATATTGGTTCTCTGAGCCTCTGTTTCTTTAAAAAGTTATTCTCTATATAAAATAAAAAACTTTGGAAATCATATAAAAATGTAAAGAAAAAAAGTACATTATAATTCTCCCATGTAAATCAATTGTTTTAGTCTTTTAAAAAAGATTTTGTTGGGGATTTGGGAGAGGGGAACAGCGTTGGGGAATCGGGGAAGGGGAACAGACAAGTTGCTGTCCTTTTGTTCTTCAGTCTAGTTGTGGAGGACGTGGCTTCATTGGTCCATGTTGGTATTATTGCGCTCTTCCCGAGTGAGGCAGTTGCTTGCTGGCCATTGGACGGCGGCTCACAAAAGCGCACACTAGCTGCCGGCCAGCCCCACTGCAGCCTACGCCATCGACTGCAGCCCAGCTCCAGGTCGAGCTGTTGTTCACCATCTTAGCTATAGAGGGTGCAGCGTCACTGGCCCTCATGTGGGATCCGAACCGGGGTCCTGCTGCTCAGAGCTGGTGTCCCAAGCCAGCTCTTAACCAATGCGCCACTCGGCCAGCCCAATTGTTTCAGTCTTTTATTGTGCATGTAAATGTATGAAATCATTTTTTTTCAAAATTGGGTAATATATATAGTTTTATATCCTACAGTTTACTTTCTTAATATCTTAAGAAAGATATTAAGATATTAATATCTTAAGAAAGATATTTCCTTGTATTATGAAGTACTCAAAATGTCATTTTTTGTTTGTTTTTTTAAAAACTTTTATTGGGGAATTGGGAGATGGGAACAGCGCTGGGGAATTGGGGCAAGGGGAACAGACAAGTTGTTGTCTTTTTGTTCTTCAGTCTAGTTGTGGAGGACGTTGCTTCACTGGCCCAAGTTGACACCATCATTGCGCTCTTCCCGGGTGAGGCAGATCAGTCGCCCGCTTCTGGATGGCTGCTCACAGTGGCTGCTGGCCACACACGGTAGCCCATGGCAACCCACTACAGCAGGGGCTGCAACCTACGCCGTAGCCAGCGACTCATGGCAGCCTAGTTCCAGGTTGAGCTGTTGTTCAGCATCTTAGCTGTGGAGGGCAGCGTCACTGGCCCTCATATGTGGGATCCAAACTGGGGCCCTCTGGCATCCCAAGCCAGCTCTTAACCAATGTGCCACTCGGCCATCCCAAAATGTCATTTTTTATAGTATAATATTGAATATCATATACCCTCTCATATGGGTATATTTCAACATTTCCATATTCAGCATTTTCTGTGCCCTTTTTTCACAACATATTACAATGAACATCCTTGTGCATATATTGTGGCACTTTGGTTTATTTCCGTGGAGAAAATTACTGGACATGGGATTACAGTTTTAAGTTCTTGGTGCAAATTGTGTCCAATTTGCCCTCCAAAAAGGTTTTCTTACCATCCTTCCTGCAGAATAGGATAGCATTAAAATAACTTGAAGACTCATTATGTTTAAATGATGTTATTAGAATGGTACGTGTAAACACATGGAAAATCATCTTGTGGGGTAATAAACATTTACTAAGCTGTGTGGGCAAGGCTTAGCCTGACTTCCTCTAGGCACCTCTAGCTGTCACTTCTGCTACCCAAAGGTGGCAGGGAGAGATAAGGCGGTCTTCAGTACAGGGGGCCCCAGATTGGCTTTATCTTCTAGCAACAGGGGCACCTGTCCACCCTTGGCATGTGCTGTCACGCATATTCCTTGAAGTGGGATCCATATGAAGTCAGGTGAGGGAGTAGGAGAAGAGGGGCTTTCACAAATTTAGTTGGTGGCATGTTTGTGTTTTACTAACGGGAAAATTCCATACCCTTCTCCTAAAGTAACTTTGGCTTCTCATAAGAGATTGGCAATTGCCTTATTTGTTTGGTTTCTCAGTACTCTGATATAAAAATGCTGCATGGCATATATCTAAGTAGCCAACTTATTTTTAGAATCTCAGGATAACCCCCATAGATCTATGAAAATCTTGCATTAGGCTTGAAGGTACTGGGAGAAAGGAAGGTCCCTAGAGATCAATTAGTTGTTTCAAGATCTGTGGGAAAAACTACTTTCCACAAGAAGACTGACGGTGATTTTAGTCCCTTTAGAGAAGAAAATCTGCCTGGCTGGCTTTGGGGGACCATCTCTCACTTCTGACCCAGCCTTCCCTTTGTGGTAGGAAATAGGACATAAGTGAGTCTGCTTGTTCAAGAAAAGGGATTTGGACCTGGGTTCTGTACCTGAAGTCTACACCCAGGGAGACAGCTCTCTGCACTCTTCAGGTGGTTCTTAAGCAGGAGAAATTCTGTCCAAGGATCCACATGTATATATTTGATGCTACCATTAGTGAGTAGCTGTCAGACTGTGACCTGCCTCCCACCTCTCACCTTTCCTAACCACCACTGCAACAAGCTATTTTGTTTTGGGTTCATGGTGCTTCATTCTCTTCCCCAGAACATCCTACCTACATCGGTACAGAATGATTCTGATTGCCCTTATAATCATAAAATAGTGAACAGGTCAGAAAATGGCCTGCCCACCAGCAACTTCCAAAGGAGACAGACAGTCAGTATACATGTAAATACATACCAGATAGTGATAAGTGCTAAGAAGAAAATAAAACTGGCTAATGGAGGTGAGGAGAAGTTCAGATCTGGGTCAAGGAAGGTGTCTGTGGGATTGACACTTAAGATGAGACCTGAGGGATGAAAAGGAGCCGGTCAGGTGAAGACCTCAAGGTGGTGGCATCAGCACAAAGACCATGTGATGGCCATAAGCTTCACGAAGAACATGTGGCCAAGGGGGAGAAGAGATGAGCTCAGAGAGCGAAGTAGAAGTAGGACAAGAAGTTTGGGTTTTATCTGAGGGTAATGGGGATGTATTGGAGTGCTTTAGCGTGGGGGAGTGATATGAGCTGATTTTATATATATATATATATATATATATATATATATATATATATATATATATATGCAACAGATGGAGAATGGGGCAAGAATGAATTGAATGCAGGAAGACCGGTTAGGAAACTTTTGCAGCAGTGAGATATACTGGTGAGCTGGACTGGGTGTTTGGAAGAAAGGGCCTTTGCGTGGTATTAAATATGAATCTGCTAGAGTTACCGCTTTGGCACAAGCAGCTACAGGGACAAAGACACTTTTCCTCCACCAAAGTTTTCACAAAGGAAAAGTGTATCTATAACCATATACATACCCACAGATATCATACAGATGCACATATTTGGGGGAATGAAGAAAGGAAAAAGAAAAACACTGAGTGAGTTTATTTACAATAAAAGTAAATAAGTGGAATATTTTATGAATAACACTATTTCCTGTAATGGACATGTTTTAGAACTATGTACTTAGGGAAAAAAAACAAAACATGGTTTACTTGCTTTGGAGTCAACACAAGCCTTGGGGTTAGAGGTTGCATTTCCTAAGAGACTAGGACTCGTCAGTAAAAACATTACATTTATCAGAGAATACTTACTTTTTCGATTATTTAAATTATTATAAAATTTTAACCACTAACTTTTAGAGAGAATAACATTAGTCCAGATCTTTGACTATCTGCATCTGTAAAGACAATTCTATACAATATAATGGAGAACAGAGCATAGCTGAATTCAGTTTGAATTGAGCCTTTGTGCTTAAGAGCACCAGAATGAATTAGGTAATTTTTTCTTTTTAATTGGGGAACAGTGTGTTTTTCCAGGACCCATCAGCTCCAAGTCAAGTAGTTGTTTCAATCTAGCTGTGGAGGGTGTGGGGATCGAGCTGGCAACCATGGTGTTGTGAACACTGCACTCTAACAAACTGAGCTAACAAGCCACCCCCAACAAGGTAATTTTTGGTTCATGAGAGTGCTTCTTCTCTCTGCAAGGCTCCTAGTCAATACAGACATAATTAAAACCTGCACTCCTTTTTAATCAAAAGTGAAAATCTGTATTATTGTTTTGTTTTTCAATTCATAGACTTTCTGATTTCGCAGACAGTATCAGTGGAGATGAATAGTAGTGGAGTCAGGATTTTTTTGGAAGTAACATTAAAGAAATTTTCTGATGGATGGAACAAGGGAGGTAAGGAAAAAGCATTATCATCTCCATTTTAAGTTAAGAGGAAAGTGGTCTCATGAGCATGTCCACTATCACACCCTAGGATCTAAACAGTCAGGATTCCTACTGACATTGGGCTCCAAAGCCCACGTTTTCCTTCTAGAATGGGCATCCTGGGAGCACTGAGGTGGGTCAGGCAGATGCCTATTTCACATCAGACAATTTACCCTTGTGGATTTTGATAGGGCACCTCCTGCTACCCCACCCCCAACGGGAGAACCACTTGGTAACCACTTGGTGACAGCTTACAGATTTTATAAAATTGAGTTTCCATAAGTAATATCAAAATAATTAAGTTAAATTCACAGCCAAAGATGAAGATTGTTATTTTGAGATTTCTTAAACTCTATTCTATAGTTAACTGAATTCTGATGCTTTGAGCCCTGTGAATCAACACTCAGTAATTTACTCAGCAAAACAGTTATTAGTACCAACAGCATGTCGGGAATTGTGCTAGACAAAGGGATACTGCCTTCAGGCCTTTTTGATTCCTGAGTTTGTAGGAAGTGCTAAATGACTTAGCACAAATAATATTCAATTATGAAATTTCAAGTTCCTGTCCTGATTCACGTGCCTTTCCAGCGCATTTGTTTAGGCTTTGGATTTTGCGTGGACTCAATGATCAAGAAAGATTACATGGCACACAGGCGCTGAAAGTTCGGTAACACTTGGTCAAAGAAAAGGTGAGAAGCTACGTATTGGCGGAGGCATGATGATAATGAGAAATGAGGATGATCCAGAGAAAGGAAGAGAAAAGCACTATCCCTTGGTTTTGCTGATCAAGGGTTGGTATATGAAGAACATGACAGCGAGTAAGACAGTTATGTGTAGAAAAGGGAGAAAAGAGAAATGATTACGGGGGGAAGGTCTGAGGAGGAGCAAACATGGGTTGTGTGAGTATTCAAGGCATTTGCTCTTCCCACAGAATAGTCTCTGGGTTGACCCTTGAAAATCAGGAAAATTAGAAGTAAAGTCTCTTGCCCGTTATCTTTAATTCCTGCAAACTTGATTTGGGCTGCAAAATAATAGAAAACTTGTCTAACAATGTTCTTAAATCATAAGGACATTTACTTACTTACAAAGAAGTCCAGAAGTGGATGGTTCCAGGCTCATTTAGAAGCTCCACTATGTCATCAAGGACACATTCTTTCCACCCATCTCCTCTGCTGTCCTCAGCTCATTGACTGTCTTCATCTTTGTTTGCTGTCACATTTATGGTCACAAGATGGCCATGGGAGCTCCAGGACTCATGGCTTCACTATTCTGTTGGCTCAAAGGATTTTGTCATGTTCTGCCTCCTATCCATTACTTCAGGCCTTCACTCTTGTCTGGTTTTCCCAGTTTTACAACTGTTGGCTTCTACTTGAATTCTCTTTTTCTTCCTGGCCCCCTGGAGTCACTACTTGTCTGGATAGTTTTCCTAGCTTTTCGACTCAGCTTCTCTGAAGACACTGCCTTTGGTCAGCTTCTCTTACTTGGCCATAAGCACTGCAGCTCCTGAGCAAGTGACTTCTTGCCTGTGACACTGAATAAAGGCTCTAGGTCCTAGGGGGATGTCATACCTTAGATGAGACTTCAATGCTTCCAACTGGCAACATCTCCATCTCCCTCTCCAATTGCCCTTTGTCTGGGAGGAAACTGTTCACACATCATTCCCCTTCTCTCCATGTTCCCTGCTTGACCAAACCCTCATCAGAGTTTTCTAATCAGGCTCTTTCTCTAGTCTTCACCCGCTCCAGCCAGCCAGCCAGTCTCCTCACGGCCACCAGTTCTCTCTTTAAAGCACCGTTTCCTTCATATGACCTGTCTGATTACACCTCTGACAGCTCTTCATTGCCTTTCAACATCTGACTCAACCTACCTTACTAATTCCATATTCTGCCACGTCTCTGCTGAACTGTAAGTTCCTCCAGGCCATGGACTATGCCTTCTCTTCTTTGTGTCTGTAATTTCTCATATAGTGCCTGTCACACAGGAGGTACTCAATAGGTATTTGCTAAATGGGCAAATGAACTCCAGCTACATTAAACTTTGAAATTCCTTTGACCACACCTTCTCCGATGGTGTTCTCTGACTTTGTCATTCAAGTCTTACATGTCTCCATGCATTTTTTTCCCCCATTAGACTGTAAGCTCTTTGAAGGAAAGACTATGCCTTACTCATCTTGCATCTGATCCAGAGTTCAGGACAGTGCCTGGCGTAGAGCAGACACACAAGCAGTTTGTTGGATGGATGGATGAATGAATGATATTAGAGAGGGGAAAGTACTAGATTTTAAGATGGTCTCCATGTAATGGAACAGACTGAGGAAATGATCTAAGAACAATGAAAATAGAGAGCAACAAGTATAAATAAGTAATCAGATGGTGCAGAACAGAACAATTTGAATAAAGTGGGGGTGGGGGTAGTCAATGAGGAAAGGTTCCCTAAAGGTGTATTTTGAGATGTGTTTGGAAAAGAGGAAAGTGGCATAATTTGGGGTGAGAGGAGCTTAGAAGCATGTCATGGAGTTGGGTTTGCAGCCTGCTTTTTGAGCAGTATCTGTTCTATGGCAGAGCTTAAGCTCTGCCTGGCTCCCCACACAGGCACGCTCACCCACTTTCTGTGTCTTGATGTTTCCCAGGTCAGCCCAACGTAGGACTTTATGTTCTCAAAGTTTCTGTGGAAATGAGCAAACAAAACTGTTTGGCTAACCCTGATCCCCTGGGGAAATGCTTTCCTGTTCCCAATAAAATAGAACTGCTCCCAGTGTTGTTAAGCCAGGAGAGAAACCCAAAGGTAACATAGCCACTTGAGCACATCTTCACAAAAATTTTCTTTGTGTGTGTGTGTGTGTGTGTGTGTGTGTGTGTGTGTGTGTGTGTCTTGGGGGGGGAGCAGATAGGGATCCAAAGAGATCGAGTACGCGTATGTATGAATAAGATCTGACAAAGACAGCTTGACTTAGCCATATCTGCCCCCCTCCTCAAAGAGTACATATGCAAGTACCCACGGTGCTGGACAGTCACTTTTAGGGCTCAGGTCATTGCAGCCTCCAGCAGTTGTGGGATGGAAAAAAAATAAACTATACTATCGTCTCCCTAAAAATGTCCCCCACTTTAGGAATCAGAACATTTTACGCAGCAGGAGGTATATGTGAAGTCCTATAGAATCTCTTGACCTTGGGAGATGGCATCTGTCTTTCTACTGGGGTAACCTACTCGTAGTTTTCACATAGTGTCTATTTCTTCAGGACGTTGTGTGCTCAACGCATTCGTTTCCTGACTGCCCAGCCTTACTATCTCCCGGAAATAATTTTCTTCTTCAAGAAAATTATGGTAGCATTTGCTCGCTGCAAGTTTCGAGGGACTGGGTTCAGAGCACAGCTCTTTTTCTCACCTCTTAATGCAAACACAGGTTCCCAAGGCGCAAAGGGAGAGCCCCCTAAGTGGCTCTTGGTGTACCCGTGTACATGGGTGTCACTCTGCTGGAACATCTCTAGATGGCAACGAAACAGTAAAGCCTAAACTGAGGTAATTCCTCACCAGCAGGGGAGCTTCCCGGGTAGGCAGTGCCCCTCCGCGCGCAGCCCAATTTTGGGGGGTGTCACACTAGACCGTGGTGATGTCACACTGGTTGGGCTGACATTTTACAGCGGGACCCCTTACCGCCACCAGTCTCCTTTAAATCACCGCGGGGTCGGCCGTGGGGATCGGCCTCGATCCACGCTGGCTCCCCACGGAGGCCCCCACGGAGTCGCGCCCGAAGCCGTCCCACTCAGCACTGTGCGGTCGTCCTAATCCGCCCGCCCTAATCCGCCCGCTCTAATCCGCCAGCTCTTCGGCACTTCCGCCTCAGTAGGTATCATGGCGCGGGGCGGGTGAATAGTTCCCGCGGGGCGGGGCCGGCCGCTCGGCTCTCAGCTCGTCTGGTCTGGCGACAACAGCGGCTGCGGAGTGAGGGGCCCGGCGGTGGCCCCGGACGGCAGCGGGAGGCCAAGGCGGGGGCGCGCTGGGCTGAGGCGGCGGCCAGGGGCAGGGCGGCGGAGCGGGCGGGGGGCTGAGGGGGCTCCCCCCGCGGGACGGGCGCGGGGACGGCTCCGGGGGGCGGGGGCCGGGGCCCGGGCCGGCTCGCGCGGGGGGTATGATGACCCGGCGGCGGGGCCCCGGATCTCGTCTCCGCCGCCTCCTCAAGGCAGCCCCAGCTCACGGCTGAGAACCAGACACACCGGCGGTGAGTCGGCCCGGGCGAGAAGGGTCCTAGGGCGGGAGCGACCTTCTATCCGCTCCCGGAGGCGGGACCGGGCCGGCCGCTGGCTATGGGAAGCCCGGCCTGCGGGGGACGCCTCTCTCGGCGGGCCCCCACCCGGGACCGGCGCCGTGTCCTGCGGCCCGGCCGCTCTCGGTCGCGGAGGGGAGGGGATTGCGTTCCCAGGAAAGTGAGGAGGCGCCGTGCTTGTTTTGGGGGCAACACCCCCTGCCTCCTGCCACTTGTCTCCTGGGCATGTTGTTGTCCTCAAATGACAGGGGGCCGCCTCGCGTCTCCTCGCTGGGCCGGTTTTTTTTCCCGTGGCTGTCGTGGCAGGTTCCCAGTGTGTGGTTTGTGCGTGTGTATTTCACAGCTCTCTGCTGATCACCATGGTTGTGGGTTATTTTGTGCTGTTTGGGACCAGGAAGCGGTGTCTGGAAAGGACGGAGGCGGCAGGGTGGGTGTGGAAGCTTTCCTATCGTCTCCGCTGATGTTCTTTAATCGTTAGGTTTGTCATTTGTAATGATGGGGGAGACGACGTGGGACCAGCCCACTGAATGTATGTCTGTGCGAGTCAGATCTAGAGGTTTGGCTCGGACGGAAACTTTTGCTGCCTGTTGTCATTTTCCCAAAGCTTTCGGGTTTTTTTTGTTTTTTTTTTTAAAGGTGAGGAAACAACCAAAACTCTTAGGGAAGGCCCACACTGTTCACAGGTCTGTGGGAAAGAGGCCCTTTTTGTGCCTAGCAACCAAGACCCGGGGTTCGGTCGCCGGGAGCGCTGGTCTAACCTTCAGTTTGTTGTGGTGACAATCCGGGAGTGCTGGCCTGTGTTTATGCTGGGCGCGCTTTCTTTCCTGTTTAGGTGGGGGAAGGGAGGAGGGGCTAGAGAAGGGGAAAAAACAAGCCCAAGCTCTGATATGCGTTTCCTCCGCTTAAACCGTAGACTCATTTTGAGGCATCCATAGATGCTTGTTATTAGTGACACGTTGAGCATTTTAAGTAATTGTATCAAAATATTCATTTCAACTATACATTTGTTCTGCCCAATCTGCCCTTTATCTTGTTTCCTAGTAACTCTGATGAAAACAGCAGCGTGGCTTCCTGTCCCTGATGAAGTGGGGTTAAATTAAGTGGCTGATGCCCTCAGCAGAACCTACAATTTTGCTCTTGTTTGTGTCAAGCTATTTTTGATTCCTGGTCTGTAGTCATTTTTTTTAAAAAACGTTACAGACAATGCAAATCATTACCAGCTTTTTTTCATATATAGGCCGAACGCTTTCTGTAATACATTTAAAAATCAAACAAGTCATTTTACCTAATAGTTGTTATGTAGCTGGTGATTGTGAATCTTTACATGTAATTATCTTAGGGTTCTGCATTATAATACTGGTATGATGAAGGATATCACTGACTTTAAGATACTGTTCCTGGCTTGAAGGATATTTTGGTAAAAGTGCTTGTGGTTGGAACTGGAGGCAGCCAAGCCAGCAAAGCATCTGGCGAGTAAAATGGTGAATGAGATCTCGTAGATACACTGGCTCTGGTTGGCAAGTAGGACTTTTGCTGGTGACATTTTCCTGATGAGTTTATCCTAACTTTGGACATTGTAGATTTATAGATGTAGAGCAAGTTGATTGATAACTTGAGATTTAAAACCAAACCAGAGCTCCCTTCTAAGAGTGAAAGAAGTAATATCAAAATTCACAATTCTCAGGAAAATAGAATTCTTTCATTCTGTGGTTTTGTTTTCATAAGTACAGCTTAGTCAGTGGTTGGGTTGGTAGAAACCAGTGAGCCAAGCTTGCCTTGTAAACTTCTGACGCTTGGAACTTGTGCAACTTGTTGTTAGTTATATATTGTAACCAATCCTTTTGTAATTTGAATTAATTTTGCAAACATGAACTTCCGGATCTTCCCCTCTATTTTCAGTGTCATGATCTGTTTTCATTTTCATAACTATAGAAAACATCCATATTTTTTAAAGTTTCTTTTTAAGTTACAGTTATTAACGTCTCCCCAGTGTCGTATGTTTCATGCCATTCTGAACACAAGTCATCAAAATCATTTTTCCTTCAAGTACCACTTCAACAATCACTAGTTTGCTTTTCGGTTCCTTTTTTGTTTTTTTGTTCCTAATCCTCTAGCTCCCTCAGTGCATTATGTATTTTTATAGAGCATAATTTGGCATTTAAAAAAAATGTTACATCCTGTTTTTATATTTTCTTTTTCTTTTTTGTGTTTCATATCACCTCAGCAACATTGTAAGCTCTTGGAAGACAAGAAAACTTATGTGTGTTTCTTTTGGATTCTTTAAGGGCACCTGGTACAGTGTTTTCTCAGAGGGCCTAATGAAAAAGGATCAGAAGACCCGGATTCTTTGCCAGCATTTCTACTCATTAACTCTGTGTAAAGCTTGTTTGGATTTCTTAGGTCTCCTTTTTCTCATCTTGGAATTAGTGAGTTTTAGAAAGAGTATTATAAGGTCTGTTTTAGCTGTAAGAATCCCTGTGCTTTTTTGCTAGTGTCTTCTCCAATCAAATACATTTTTTTTCCTTCTTATTCTAAACAGTTTTTCATTTTTCCACATCCCCTGGCATACTGACAAAAGTTATCTCATTCATCTGAAAGAGCTTCTTCCAACTCCGATCTGCCAATCTGTTGTTACCTTTCTTAAGTCCTATTTTCCTTAGGCCTTTGCAGGCTGATCTAAACAGGGTCCTCTTTCAGTGTCTGTTTCATACTGATCTGTGCTTAGCTAGAAATTCCTCAAGATCTAGTTTTCTTTATTCTAAACTTTATAGACCTGTAAACTGTCCTTTGCACATACTAAAATAGTACCTTTTACCAAGCACAAAAAGCACCTACTTTCTTTTCTGTTATTAAAGATTTGTCATTCTAAATAAATCATGGCTGAGGTGGGAGTGGAAGTGGACGCTAACTGGAGGCAGTGGAGCCAGTCATGGGGCAGGGAGGGGAGATCAGTGGCAAAGCAGGCTGGGAAATTCCCAGAATGCTATTGAAATTTAGGAAATAGTATCCTGCTTAGAAGGATAGGTTGTATCCCTCAACCAGTTTACCAAAATATTACAAAATTGGCTTAAATGGACAGAATTGTAGAGTTACTCCAATGTCAGCTAACCACCTATTTCATACTCTATTTTTGTATACTAGTTGGGGAACTGGCTTGTTTCACATGGTTCCATATGAAGAAGTACTACAGGAGAGCGGGGAGGGCTTTGATTCAAATGATGTCCTTAGGGTTTCAAGCTTATTTTTTCTTTGTGTATCTATACTTAAAAAACTAATATATAATATCTTGTAGACAAGAGACTATAATTTCTGTATCATTATGTATTTCTCTGATTTAGTCAGAATGACTTCTTGAGGACCCCTTATGTTTACATATGGAGAAGTAATGTAATCTCTTTATAGTCATTCATTATAGCAGACATTTGACATCTACTATATGTCAGCCATTGTGATAGATGCTGGCGATAAAAAAGGGACACCTACTCTGCTATTGAGACTTGCTCTCCTGGCACTTGCAGGTTAGAAGAGAAGTTAACTTTTAAATAAATAATTACAAATAGAATAAAATCCAGAGCGGCTCACAGGTCAGTATGTGATCTGGCCTTTGTCTGTTTCTTTGGGTCCTGCTTTTACTGTTTTCTCCCTTGTTCCACTCTATCCATCCTAGTTTCTTCTTCAAATAGGCCAAGAATGTATCTTGGCACTAACTTTCCTTTTTCACTGGAATGGCTCCTTCTTGTCAGTTTGGTCTTAGCTTAAGTGCCACCACCTTACAGGCCTTCCCTGACCACCAAATCTGGATTAGCTCTCCTTTCACCATCTTTATCATATCACTGTGTTTTGTTTTTATTATAGCACTATCACTAGCTATTTTCGTGTGTGTGTGTGTGTGTGTGTGTGTGTGTGTGTGTGTGTGTGTGTGTGTGTGACCCCAGTAGAAAAACTCCAGGAGATAATGACTCTTATCCATCTGGAATCTTATCCATCTGTTATCCCTATTGGCTAGCACAGTGCCGGGCAGACATACTAGATGTTCAATACATGCTTGTTAAGTGAATAAATGAAAAATAAGTACAAGTGTGACAAGTGCTAAGTAGTAGTAGAGGAAGCTGTGGGAGCCTTTACCAGCAAACCTAACCTAGTATGAAGCAACCTGGGGGAGGCTTTCCTGAGTATATTTGTGAGCTTAAGGCTGACTAAACAGCATGCTAGCTGAAGGAAAGTAGTTTTTCTCTCACATAAGAGCCTGGAGTAAATGTTCCAGGCTGAAGTGAGCTTTCCTGGTGGGCAGGCGGCTCGGCTCTATGTGATCATTCAGGGACCCATGTTCTTTCTGCCGTGTTGCTCTGCCATCCCTTGGGTGCTGTCTCATGGTGGAAGCTGGGTCTCCATGGGTTCCTGCTGGCGGAAAGGGAAAGGAACATGAAAGGCTCACCCACACATTGCTTTCTGTTGGAGAGAGGTACTGGTAAACATCTAGCTATGTATGTGCCTGGGACGAAGGAGCGCAGATGCTGATCAAACCAACAGCCTGTGCCACCCTGAAAAGGTGAGCTGTAAATGGAGACTAAAAGGATAAACAGAAAAAGAAGAGGCCAAGAGAGGGAACATGATGTGCAAAGTAACTGGGGCAGGAGAAAGCAAGGCCTACTCTAGGAGCAGAGAGATTTAGTACCAGGGAGACAGAGTGTCTGGGGAAGAGTGGATGGAACGAGGCTGCAAAACTAATCAGGGTCCAAATCTTATATATAAGGCCTGGAGATCCAAATTAGAGATTTAGGACTTTATCTGAGGGTTTTAAGGGGGAGACAGATGTGCATTTTATTTATTTATTTATTTATTAACTTATTTACAAGAAACCAAACATGCTCTATTAGCACAAAACAGCAGCCATAACCATGCACAGCAAGCAGAAACATACATTAGCAGTCAAAGGGTTAGTGTTGCATACAGAT